TGAGCCCCCCAGACCCCTTAGCTGCCCCACAGACCCTGCAGACCTACCAGTCCCTCTGTGGACCCCCCAGACCCCACAGACCCCTCAGACCCCCCCTAGATCCCCAAGGACCCCCCAGGCCTCCCACAGAGCCGCCCATAGACAGTCGGACACCCCCAGATCCCCCTGCACGCCCAGAGACCCCCGGAGAACACCCCGTGCACCCCCCACCCCCGGGAGCTGTCCAGGCCCCGGTGCTGAGCGGGGACACGGGGACAGATGGACAGGGGGACAGACGGACACGGGGACGCGGGGACAGACGGACAAGGGGACATGTGGACAGATGGACATGGGGACAGATGGACATGGGGACGCGGGGACACGGGGACCTCGGGACAGACGGACGCGGGGACATGCGGACAAATGGACACGGGGACAGACGGACGCAGGGACATGGGGACAGACGGACGCAGGGACATGGGGACAGATGGACACTGGGCCGTGGGGACAGACGGACACGCAGACATGGGGACACACGGACACGGGGACACACAGACACGGGGACATGGGGACAGACAGATATGGGGACAGACGGACACGGGGACAGACGGACACGGGGACAGACGGACACACAGCCATAGGGACACACGGCCATGGGGAGAGACGGACACGGGGACATGGGGACACACAGACACGGGGTCACACAAACACGGGGACACACGGACACACGGCCATGGGGACAGACGGCCGTGGGGTCGCACGGGGGGCTCGGGGACACGGGGACAGCCGGTGCCAGCAGCCCGCGCCCCCGCTCTCCCCGCCCCCCCCGGGGCTCCGCAGCGTAAACTGGGAGAGCTGGGAGTGTTGTACTGGGTAAACTGGGAATGGGATACTGGGTAAACTGGGAGAGCTGGGAGCCTCGGAAAGGTGGGGGGGATGGGGAGAGTCCCGGGGGGCAGCGGCCACACCCAGCAGCGCTCCCCCCCCCCCAGAGCGGGATCTGCCCCCAAAGTGGGGGTCCTGCCCCCCTCCTCCCCCCGCGGGGGTCCCGCTGTCACTCACCCCCACCACGACGCTGTCGTCCCCCTGGAACACGGGCAGGAACTTGTCCCCCCGCAGGATCTCGGCCTGGTTGAGCGGCCGGAAGCGGCACAGGACCTTGATGCTGCACTCGGAGCTGGGCTCGGCCATGCCGGGGCTCGGGGGGCTTCACACGGGGGGGCAACGAGGCTGGGGGGGTCACCCGGGGCGCTGCTCACAGCCTGAGGGACAGCTGGCACCGGGGGGCAGGATGGCAGCCGGGGATGCTGAGCGCGACCCGGGGCTGCAGGATGATGCTCAAGGATGCAGGATGCCGCTGCTCAGGGATGCAGGATGCTGCCCGGGTGGTACCCAGGGGTGCAGGATGCCGCTCAGGGATGCAGGATGCTGCAGCTCAGAGATGCCGGGTGGTACCCAGGGATGCAGAATGATGCTGCTCAGGGATGCAGGATGCTGCTCAGCACTGCAGGGTGGTACCCAGGGCTGCGGGTGGTACCCAGGGATGCAGGATGCTGCTGCCCAGGATGCAGCTCAGGGATGCAGGATGCTGCTGCTCGGGGATGCGCCTTGCGGGCTGCAGGATGCGGGAGGCGGCGCCGGGCGGGGCTGACGCTCCGCAGCTGCCGCTGTCGCCGCTCCTGTGACCGCTGCTGTCGCCACTGCAGCCCCGGGACCGGCGGGGGGGGGGGGGGGGGCCCCCCCCCCCCCGCGGGAAGCCCGCGCTCCTGACTCATCCCCCGGTACGCCGGGGGCTCTGCCCGGCCCCCGCTCCGTGTGACCCCCCAAACACGGCGGGGGGGTCCGCAGCTGACCCCGGGGGTCCCCCGCGGGTGAGAAGTGCAGCGCACTATGGGACACCCCCACGGTGCCCCCCAGTGCCACCCGGCCTGTGTGTGCCCCTACCCGTGAGACGGGCCCGGTGTCCCCCCGTGTCCCCCGTTCCTGCGACCCCCCATGTGCCCCTCATGTGTCCCCCGTGTGTCCCCTCACTGTGTGCCCCTGTGCCCCCCTCGTGTCTCCCCGTGTCTCACCCGTGTGTCCCCACATCTGAACCCTGTGTCCCCCCGTGTGCCCCCCGTGTGTGTCCCCGTGTGTATCCCCGTGTGCCCTCACCCGTGTGTCCCCCTCTGTGTCGCCCCCCGTTCCCCGTCCCTTGTTCACCCCCGGTGTGTCCCCTTTGTGCCCCCGGGCCCTACCCGTGTCCGTGTGTCCCCTGTCTCCCCCATTGTCCCCCCATGGGTCTGAGGGGCCGGGGGTTTGAGGAGGCCAGGGGGTCTCAGAACAGTGAGGGAACCAGTGGGACATGCAGGGACTGGGGACGTGGGAGAAGGGTGGCTCTGAGAGGGCCAGAGTGGGCCAGGGGGATCTGAGGGTGCTGTGCGGGGTCTCAGGGTGGTGAGGGGATCTGGGGGAATCTGCAGGATCCGAGGAAACCTGCAGGGATTTGGGGATCTGCAGGCACTGGCAGGGGATGGGGGTTCCAAGGGTTTTGGGGGGATCTGAGGGGATTGGGGGAATCAGGGGTCCTGAGGAGGTCTGAGGGCACTGGGGGGGCTGAGGGGCTGCAGGGATCGAGTCAGTTTGGGATGTCTGAGATTGGAATGACTGACAGGGTCTGGGGACCAGGGGGATTTGGGGAACTTGAGGGGCTGTGGGTCTCTGAGAAGATCTGGGGGTGAGCTGAGGGGTCAGTGGGGTGTGGGGGTGGCAATGTTTGGGGTGTCTGTAGGAATGGGAGGGGGCTTGGGCTGCCAGGGAGCAGCTGTCTGTCTGTGGGTCTGTCTGTGGGGGGAACACGGGTCCCGGGGGGGTGGGGGCACCCCGTGTGTTTGGGGTGACTGGGAAGTGGGACGTGGAGCAGGGGACAGGGGCCGTGAGTCGGGGTGCTGGGGGGACACTGCGGTGTTCGAGTGCTTTTGGGGGAGCAGGGACAGTCAGCAAGGGCTGTGGGGACATTGGGGTGTCCAGAGGGAGACGTGACCCTTCAGAGATGTCCATGGGGATGAGGTGTGGGGGTCAGGGGCCGCCGTGGGGGTCTCAGCACAGCCCCTGGTGCCGCAGGCCCGCAACGAGCCCGACGTGTACGAGACCAGTGACCTGCCTGAGGATGACCAGGCCGAGTTCGAGGCGGTAAGGCCCGGCCAGGGGGGAGCAGCAGCAGCTGGAGCAGACCCCCGGGACCCCCGGGACCCCCAGGACTGGCACCGTGGCAGGGAACCGGCTCCCACGCACCCAGCAGCACATCCTGCACAGTGACACGTCACCCCACGGGGGCAATGTTCCCCTGCAGTGGCAGTGTCCCCTCATGGCAACAGTGTCCCTCACGGTGACAGTGTCCCCCCACAGTGGAGTGTCCCCCCACAGTGACAGTGTCCCTCACGGTGACAGTGTCCCCCACAGTGGCAGTGTCCCCCCACAGTGACAGTGTCCCTCACGGTGACAGTGTCCCCCACAGTGGCAGTGTCCCCCCACAGTGACAGTGTCCCTCACGGTGACAGTGTCCCCCACAGTGGCAGTGTCCCCCCACAGTGACAGTGTCCCTCACGGTGACAGTGTCCCCCACAGTGACAGTGTCCCCCACAGTCCCAATGTCCCCCTGCAGTGACAGTGTCCCCCACAGTGACAGTGTCCCCCCACAGTGATAGTGTCCCCCACAGTCCCAATGTCCCCCTGCAGTGACAGTGTCCCCCTGCAGTGACAGTGTCCCCCACAGTGACAGTGTCCCCCCATGGTGACGGTGTCCCCCACAGTGACAGTGTCCCCCACGGTGACAGTGTCCCTCACGGTGACAGTGTCCCCCGCAGTGACAGTGTCCTCTGCAGTGACAGTGTCCCCCCCGGTGACAGTGTCCCCTCACAGTGACAGTGTCCCCCTGCAGTGGCAGTGTCCCTCACGGCGACAGTGTCCCCCTGCAGTGACAGTGTCCCCCGCAGTGACAGTGACAGTGTCCCCCCACGGTGACAGTGTCCCCCTGCAGTGACAGTGTCCCCCACAGTGACAGTGTCCCCTGCAGTGACAGTGTCCCCCACAGTGACAGTGTCCCCTCACAGTGACAGTGTCCCCTACAGTCCCAGTGTCCCCCTGCACTCCCAGTGTCCCCTCAGAGTGACAGTGTCTCCTACAGTCCCAGTGTCCCCTGCAGTCCCAGTGTCCCCCTGCACTCCCAATGTCCCCTCACAGTGACAGTGTCCCCTGCAGTCCCAATGTCCCCCTGTAGTCCCAATGTCCCCTCACAGTGACAGTGTCCCCTGCACTCCCAATGTCCCCTCACAGTGACAGTGTCCCTTACAGTCCCAGTGTCCCCCTGCACTCCCAATGTCCCCTCACAGTGACAGTGTCCCCTGCAGTGTAGCCCCCATCCCCCTGTGGCACCCTGCCTGTGCTTTGGGGGCAGGAAGGGGAGAGCAGCACACAGCCTCCCCTACACGGGCTGGGTGTCCCTGTCCTTGCTGTCCTTGTCCCCAAGAGAAAGGGGCTGCCAGTTCCCCAACCCCACCCCGAGGGGAACAAGGGGGACCCCCTGAACCTGCTGTGAGTAGTGGGGGGTCCCCAGCCTGGGCTAAGGCCATTCTTAGGGGTGGCTGCACAGAGAATTCAGTGTGCAGTGACAGGGATCCATCCTGGTGGGGCTCAGGGGACCCCCGGGGCTGTGGGGTGACCCCCAGCTGTGCTGGGGAGGACAGTGGGGGTTCAGGGGTCACAGCCCGAGGGGTGACTCGGTGCCCCCCGAGCCAGTGAGGGGGTGCCAGGCCTTGGGGGTGCAGGGGGTGCAACACCTGCCCTCTACCATCAGTGCCAGTGGTGTTTTTGGGGTCTGGCAGATTGGCACAGATCCCTGGCATGGAGCAGGGCCCACCAGGTACCCCCAAATCCTGAGGGGGGCAAAGAGACCCCCCCCCATGAGAGCCAGGGCAGCACGATGGGCTGAAACAGGGGTTTGAGCCCAAAGTGGACCCAGTCATGAGGTGACATGTGGCCCTTACTGTGGGGGGAGGTGACAGATGGGGGGTCCTGAGCCCCTCCTGCCTCGGGGAACCCTTCACCAGCTCTGGGGTGTTGGGGGGTCCTTCCTCCCCCTCGGGGAGCCCCCCAAACTGACCAGGGCTCCCCCCGCTTCCCCCCCGCTCCCGCCTGGCCTGGACTCAGTTTGCACAAGTAAGCGCGGCCCTGCTTTGGGGTGCATGGGGGGGCACTGCTGCATGTGCATGGGGGTCCCAGCGCTGTCCCCTCTGGGGGTTTTGGGGTGCCCTGCACTGCCCCCCTGCTCTGCCTTGCCCTCTGCATCCTCTGCCTGCCGCCCGCACTGCCCACCTGGCCTTGGGACCCCCGGGACCCCCCAGGCCCCCCGGGCTGGGTCTCATTGCCCTGGGGACCCTGCCTGGGCATGGGGGGGCCGTGCTGAGCCCCCTCTCTGCTGCCAGCATTGCATGGGGCAGCTGCTGGGCTGGGGCAGCTCCTGGCCCTTCAGAGCCCCCCCAGGCTCCCTGGGGGCTCTGGGGGTCCCCCTGAGTGTTGGGGTCCTGTGGGGGAGCACCGGGGAAGAGCTGGAGCTGCTGAGAGGAGTTAGGGGGTGATCCCCCAAACTCTGGCCACGTCCTGCTCCCCTCCAGAGCACGGCCCTGCTGCCCCCATCCCCGGCTGCCCCGGGTCTGTCCCACTGCCCCACATCCTGCAGGGGTCCCCAGCCCTCGGGGGTCCCCAGCCCGTGGGGTTCCCTGTCCCGCAGGGGTCCCCAGCCCTCGGGGGGCGGCGAGCGCGGGCCGGACCTTCTAACGCGGATTTTGTCTCTCTCTCCCCTCTCTAACCTTGCTCTGACTTTCTCACCTCTGGGAAACGCCAGGAGCTGGTAAGCGCCCGTCTCCCGGCCGCTGTCACTGTCCCTCAGCCACTGTCACCCGCTGCCACCCACCGCAGCCCCCTAACGCTGCCAGCGCTGCTCCCGCCGCTCTCACTGCCCGCAGCAAACCAGGGCCCTGAAACCACCCGGGCCAGAGCCTGGGGGGCTGCACAGGGGCACACGGGGGTCCTTTGGGTCCCCCCAGAGCCCTGCTGAGCTGGGGACCCCTTGATGGCAGCAGGGGGCAAGGGACACACACCGGCTGTGCCCACCCTGCCTGGCACAGGGCACCGCCCCCGGTCTGGGGGTCTGGGGGCCTGTGCCCCCCACTGCCTCCCTAATCAGCCCAAAAGGCAGCCAGAGGGCAGTGACAGCCCCAGGGGGCCGGGGGTCACCCTGGGGAGGAGGTTGTCCTGCCAAAACACAGCTGGGGACAGCGACAGTCCCATGGGGACAGGGGTCATCCTGGAGGGACCAGCAATGGGTCCTGGTCCTGGCCAGGGGCTGCTGGAATGTTCCACAGATTGGGATAGGCTGAACCTTGGGGGTCCCTGAGCTGGGCCAGGCCAGGGGCCCAAAGTCCTGACACGTCTTTGGGGGAGCCCTGCCTGCTGGGCTGGGCCAGACCAGGGCCCAGTGTCACCAGAGTCCAGTGCCACCACGCTGGGCCAAGCTTGGGTCTGATGTCCCCACACTGCACCAGGGGTCCAACATCCCCACTCCAGACTCTTGAGAGTACCTCCCTCTGGGCCAGGCCAGTCTGGGGGTGTGCTGTCCCCACCCTGGACCCTTGGGGACATGCCACATCACTGCCAGCAGAGCCCTCACCGGGCTGCCCTGGGGCCTGCGCCTGTGTCCTGGGGAGGACCAGGCCAGCCACGCCGTGTGCTGGGGGTGGTGGCAGCCCTGGGGCTCCCTTGTCCCCATCCCTGTCCGTGCCGGGGGAGGTGGTGGCAGTCTGGGGACACTGTGTCCCTGTCCCTGACGTGGCTCCGTGTGCAGGAGGAGCTGAGCAGCACCAGCGTGGAGCACCTGATCATCAACCCCAACGCTGCCTACGAGAAGTTCCGGGACAAGCGCCTGGGCACGGAGGGTGTGGGTGAGCTGGGGAGCTCGGGGGGGCCAGGGGGGCTGGCCATGAGCCGGGGGACCACGGGGACACTGAGCCCCCCGAGCTGGGCTGGGTCACACCCGCCTCTGCCTCTTGCAGATTTCTCTGACCGCATCGGCCGCACGCGGACAACGGGTTACGAGGCTGGGGAGTATGAGATGGTGAGTGGGCAAGGGGCACCCCTCCCTCCCCACGCAGTGCTTGGGGCACCCCTGGGTGCCACAGGTCCCTTGGGACCCCCGGGGTCACCTGCTGCAGCCCCTAGCCTCACAGGAGCCGTGTGCCAGCTCCACCAGCACCGTGCTGGTCTCTGCCCAGTCCATCCCAGTCTGCCATGCTGGGAGCCCCTGTCCCCACCACAGACCCCCGAGGGTGCTCAGGACAGCACTGGTCACCAAGTCCTGGCTGGAGCTGGGAGTCCCAGGGTGGATCTGGGGGTGGTCCTGGGGGTCCCAGGTAATCCTGGCTGGCTCATGTTCAGCTGGGTGTCCCCCAGGCCCCCGGGCCTTTCCTGGGTACCCATCATGTCCTGGTGCTGGGCTGTTTCCCCAGCAGGGCCCTGCCTGTCCCCTCACTGACTGGAGTTGTCACCCCAATTCCCTGGGCTGTCCCAGTTCCTCTGGTCCCTCAGGACCCTCCCAGGGGCCTCAGGGTGGGCTGCAGTCCCTGTCACCCAGGGCCAGAGGGGAGAAGGTGGCTGAGGGTCACCTGGCTCCTTCTTGGCCTGCTGGGAGGGGGTGACATCTGTGTCCCCTGGGCTGGTCTGTCAGGCCAGTCCAGTTCAGGGTATCTCTGGGAACAGCTGGGTTTGAGCAAGGGCCAGGGAACCCCCACATTCCACGGGGGACATGCCACCACCCAGAGCCACCCCACAGCTTTAGAGCCTGGGGTTAGGAGGGGGAGGAAGAGGAGGAGGAGCTCTGTGGGCACTGAAATGGGGAGATCCATGGGGGTGGTGATGGGGAACTTCATGTGGGTGAGGATGAGGAGTTCCATGGGGGTGAAGATGAGCTTCATGAGGATGAAGATGGGGAGTGTGAAGATGAGGAGCTCCGTGAGGATGAAGATGAGCTCCAGTGCAGCCCCTCTCCCTGTGGGTTCAGGACTGTCCTGGGCTGCTCCTGCCCTGCCCCACTGGCCCCATCAGGTTCCCTTTAGGTGCCACCTGAGGTTCTGTCACCTGAGGCTGCTCTGACCTGTCCCTGCAGGCCTCACCTGCTCCTGCTTGATGCCAGGTGCTGCCAGCACCTGTGAACCCCCTGAGCCCCCTGAACTCTGTGAGACCCCTGACCCTTCTGAGCCCCCTGACCTCTGTGAGACCCCTGACCCCTCTGGGCCCCCTGACCTCTGTGAGACCCCTGACCCCTCTGGGCCCCCTGACCTCTGTGAGACCCCTGACCCCTCTGGGCCCCCTGACCTCTGTGAGACCCCTGAACCACCATGAGATCCCTGAGCACTCCATGAGACGCCTGAGCCCCCTGACCCCTCTGAGGCCCCTGAACCACCATGACCCCTCCACCATCCCATGAGCTCCCCTGACCCCCTGTGAGCCCCCCAGCCCCCCGTGAGCCCCCCAACCCATTTGTCCCACAGCTGGGTGAGGGTCTTGGTGCCAAGGAGACGCCGCAGCAGCGATTCCAGAGGTTGCAGCACGAGGTGCAGGAGCTGCTCCGAGACGTGGAGCAGATCCAGGTGAGCTCCCACCTGTCCTGGGGCAGGGCTTGGGGGTGACACAGCACCTGTGTGCACAGGTGAGCCCTCACCTGTCCCAGGGTGTGTCCCGGGGGTGACACGGCCCCTGTGTGTCCCCAGAGCTCAGTGAAGGAGTCGGGGGCTGAGGAGGAGCTGACGCCCATGGCCCTGGCCAGGCAGGTGGAGGTGCTGAAGCAGCAGCTGCTCAGCTCCCACCTGGAGAAGGTTCTGGGCCCCGGTGCTGCCGTCGACTTTGCTGATCCCGAGGGTGCCCTGGCCAAGTGAGTGGGGGACACCACCCCGGGGGAGCATGGCAGCGTCCCCGTGTGGTGGGACAGGGACCCTCCAGCTTGTCCCCTGCCTGCCTTGTCGCTGTGCCCACCCTGTCCCCTCCTGGCTGTCCCCAGGCGGCTGCTGCAGCAGCTGGAGGTGGCCAAGTGCAGCAAAGCCACGGCGGGGAAGGGCCCCGCGCGGGCCGCCCCCCCTGCCGGCGATGCTGTCACCTTCGAGCTCTACTGGAGGCCGGAGCAGGACCAGTTTGCCCAGTCTGCCAAGGTGAGCGGGGGCTGCTGGCCCCGCAGGGGTGTCCTGGGGAGGGGGACACCACACCTGGGACCAGCACCTCACCCAAACCCCGCAGGTGTCGGAGCTGGAGAAGCGTCTGGCACAGCTGGAGGCGGCCATGAGGTGTGAGCCCGACAGCCAGGTGAGTGCCCAGGTGAGGGGGGGCTGCCCTGCCTCCCTCCTGCCACTTTCCTGCCCCCGTCCTTCATCTGCCCCTACTGACACCATTTCCCCCCACAGAACCCACTGCTGGTGGGGCTGAAGGGCTCCAGTCTCATGGTGAGTTGGGCAAGAGGGATTTGGAGGAACCCCTGGCCCCCCCCTGCCCTCAGTGCTTTGGGGGGGCTGCTGTACCCCCCTCACCTGTCCCCCCTCCCCAGGACACGGTGCAGGTGCTGCAGGCCAAGGTGAACGTTCTGGACGTGGCTGTGCTGGACCAGGTGGAGGCTCGGCTGCAGGTGAGGGGAGCTGGGGGGCACTTCTGAAATTGGGGGGCACTGCTGAAATTGGGGGGCACTGCTGAAACGGGGAGGCATTACTGGATTTGGGGCCCACTGCTGGATTCAGGGTTTTTCTCCCCCCACACCAGAGCGTCCTGGGGAAGGTGAACGAGATCGCCAAGCACAAGGCCACGGTGCAGGACGCTGACACCCAGAGCAAGGTATGGGCTGTGAGGCCCAGAGGCTAGGAGGGGATCCAGAAAAGCCCCCCCAGGCTGTGCTGACCCCCCAGGCTGTGCTGACCCCCCACTGCTGCCCCCCAGATCCACCAGCTGTACGAGACGCTGCAGAGCTGGGACGCCGTGGCCAGCGCCCTGCCCGACGTGGTGCAGCGCTTGGTGACCCTGAGGGACCTGCACGAGCAAGGTGAGGGCCGGGGGGGCTGGGGGACACCTGGTGGGGGTCACTGCCCTCCCCAGCACTCAGGTGTGTCCCCCTGCAGCCACCCAGTTCGGGCAGGTGCTGGTGCACCTGGACACGACGCAGCAGGAGATCGCGGGCGCTCTCAAGGACAACGCGGTGCTGTTGGCTGAGGTGGGTCCCCCTGGCCCCCCACTGCCCCCTGTCACCCCACCCCGCCTGCTCCATCACCCCATCCCCCCCTCACCCATCCCCCTGCCCCCCCAGGTGCAGAAGACCATGAAGGACAACCTGGCCATCGTCGAGGACAACTTTGCCGACATCGACGCCCGCATCAAGCGGCTGCAGAAGTGAAAGGCCCCAGGACACCCCCGGGGCTCCCCTGAGGACATCCCCGTGCCCCCCCAGGACCCCCTGGGCCCTGTGACCCCCCGCAGGTCCCAGCTGCTGCTTGTAAATACCCTGGCTCGGCCCCCCGTCCTCTGTCCCTGTCCCCACGGGGGTCCTGCCTGTCCCCCGCTCCCTCCCCAGCTGTGGGTGTCTGGTCCCCCCGTACCCCAATAAACAGCTCGGCTCCCGGGGTGTGTGTCAGCATTTCTGGTGGGGGGCAGGAGCGGGCCCCCCAAACTGGGGACTGGGGGGGACACGAGGGGAACCTGTGGGACCCCCACAAGGATGAGGGGCTGGGGGCAGCTGGACCCACAGACAGGGGAGGGGTCCCGGGTGTGTCCCCAACCCTCACACGGGTCCTGCAGCCCCCCACCCACAGCCAGAGCACCCCCATGGCACCAGCCCCCCCCAGTCCCGCCATCCCTCCCAGCTCCAGTGCCCCCAGGACCCGGAGACCCGGTGGCACCGAAGCCCCGCCCACTCCCCGTCGCCCCCGCCCATTCCCGCCAAGCCCCGCCCCTCGCCCCTTGTCCGCTGGGGGGCGTGGCCCATTTCCCGCCATTGCATCATCCCCGCGTGACCCCCCACGCGCCCCTCCCTCGCGCTAGGCGGTGCCGCTCGTCCCGCCCCCGCCGCTCTCCCATTGCTTGGCGCTCTCCTGCCAGTCACGCATCCCGCGCGCCCATTGGCTGCCGCCGGCGCGAGCGTTGCGTCAGGCTGCAGTTAAAGCGGCGCGGCGCGGGGGGCTGGGCGCAGCGCGGGACGATGCGGACGAGGATGAGCAGGGGGCAGCGAGCGGAGCGGGGGGGGCAGCCCGGGGGGCACGGGGGCCGCTGGCCGAGGGGAGCCGGAGCGCCCGGAGCTGTCTCCGCGGGACGGGGGCCCCGAGCCCCGGCGAGCCCCCCCTCGGGGGTCACCCCTCCTAAGAGCACCCCCTTCTCCTTCCCCAGGCATCGAGGAGAAAGTGTGTCCTCGCCGACCACCACACCTGAGAGCAGGTAAGGGGCCGCCCCCTTTGGCTGCCGGGGGTCCCGCCCCGCTCCCCCTCACTCCGTTCCCGTCCTTCGCTCCGTCCCGCAGCCCGCGCCGGGCCCGAGGTGACGATGGCGGCCGAGGGGCTGTGGGGGCCGGGCGGCCCCCCCGGCTGGGAGCTGGACGGCTGGTACGAGGACCTGCAGGAGGTGCGGGCGGCGGACCCCCCCGGGCCCGCCCCCGCCTGGGGGCCCGAGCAGGTGAGCGCGGGGCCGGCGGCGCCCCCGGGGCGGCGGGCGCGGGGCGCGGCCCCCGCTCCATCACCGGCCCCGGTTCCGCTCCCTCCGCAGGTGGAGCCGGGCCCGGGGGGCTGCGGGCTGGACCTGGCTCTGGCCGAGGAGCTGCTGCAGCTGCTGGGGCCCGAGGGAGCGGCTCCGGCGGAGCCCCCGGCCGCGACCCCCGGCGGGAGCGGGCCGGGCCCCGCCGAGGAGGCGGAAGAGGAAGAGGAGAAGGCGCGGGGGACGCGGAGGAAGCGGCGCGGCGGCGCCGGGGCTCCGCGGCAGCGGGACGGGGAGCGGCGGGTGCGGGAGCTGACGGCGCACAACGAGCGGCTCCGCGCCGAGATCCAGCGGCTCAGCAGCGAGGTGCAGCGCACCCGGGCCGCGCTCATCGACCGCATCGTCAACCTGCGCCAGGTGTAGCCCCTGCCGGGACACGGACTCTGCTGCCCGCCGGAGCGCGGGGACAGCCCTATGGACAGATGGACACTGGGACAGACAAGTGGATGCAGCTGCTCCACGCCGTTGTACAGCTCTTTGTCATTTATTACACGCGTCCGACCACAACCCGCGCGGCCCAGTTTGGTTACTGGAACCCCTCAGGGTGTCCCGGTCCGGGTGCTGGGGTCACTTCTTCCGCTTGCCCTTGGGGACCTCGGGGCTCCGGCCTTCGGCGAGTGCCAGCTGCTGCTTCAGCTCCAGCAGTTTGGCCACCTGGGCGTCCACCTGGGCCTTCTCCACCTGGGCAGCCTTCAGCTGCCTCACCAGGTTGCCCTGGACAGGTGGGAGGGAGGATTTGAGGCTGTGATGAGGATTCGGGGAGGGTTCAAGGTATGACAGTGTGTGTCCCGTGCCCTGTGCCCCCTCACCTGCTTGGCCACCTGCTCCGTCAGCTCCTGGATCAGTTTGGGGTCACCTGGAGCTGCTGAGGTGTTGGGGGGTGCAGGGGGGGCTGAGGCTGGGGGGGGCTGTTTGGCCTGGAAGAGGAAGAGATGGGCCAAGCCCCCCTCACTCCTATTCCAGGCAGGTGCAGCTCACCTGGGGCAGCACCTGGCGTTACCTGGGGCTCTGCAGCAGCACCTTTGGACTGGGAATGGGGAGGGGAGGGACAGGGAGGGTGGGGCTGCAGGTGCCCGAAGTGGGGGGGCACCTGAGCCCCCACTCACCTGCCCTCCCCCGAAGCGCTGGCGCAGGGCTTCCACCTGCTCAGGCTCCAGCTTCTGGAACAGGGGGCTCACCTGGCAGGGACAGAGGGGTCACACCTGGGGGTCAGCACCCGCGGGTGCCACCCCCGCAGGGCCTGCCCTGCCCTCCCCCGGCCGTACCGTGCCAACGCGGTGCCCGGCGGGCAGGGTGCAGGTGAGGCCGGGCCCGAGGCCGCAGCGCTCCGGGGGGATGCGGAGCTGGCCCTGGATGGCGGCGCTGACCCCGGGCACGAAGGGCTGGAGCAGCGCGGCCAGCGCCGCCGCCACGTTCACCGCGACACCGGTCACTGTCCCTGCGCGCTGCCTGGGGGGGACATGCTCGGTGACACCTCTGTGCCCCCTGGGGCGGGGACACGCTCGGTGACACCTCTGTGCCCCCTGGGGCGGGGACACGCTCGGTGACACCTGGATGGCGGCGCTGACCCCGGGCACGAAGGGCTGGAGCAGCGCGGCCAGCGCCGCCGCCACGTTCACCGCGACACCGGTCACTGTCCCTGCGCGCTGCCTGGGGGGGACACGCTCGGTGACACCTCTGTGCCCCCTGGGGCGGGGACACGCTCGGTGACACCTCTGTGACCCCCTGGGGCGGGGACACGCTCGGTGACACCTCTGTGACCCCCTGGGGCGGGGACACGCTCGGTGACACCTTTGTGACCCCTCCCTGCTCAGTGACCCTCTTCTGTCCTTCACTGTGTGGCTGGGGACATGCTCGGTGACCCCCTGGGGCAGGGACATGCTTGGTGACACCTCTGTGACCCCCTGGGGTGGGGACACGCTCGGTGACACCTCTGTGACCCTCCCTGCTTGGTGACCCCCTGGGGCAGGATGCTCGGTGACCCCTCTGTGACCCCTCCCTGCTCAGTGACCCCCGTGGCCTGTACTGCCTGGGGTGGGGACATGCTCGGTGACCCCCTGGGGCAGGGACAAGCTCGGTGACACCTCTGTGACCCCCGGGGCAGGGACAAGCTCGGTGACCCCTCTGTGACCCCTCCCTGCTCAGTGACCCTCTTGTGTCCTTCACTGCCTGGCTGGGGACATGCTCGGTGACCCCCTGGGGCAGGGACATGCTTGGTGACACCTCTGTGACCCCCTGGGGTGGGGACACGCTCGGTGACACCTCTGTGACCCTCCCTGACCAGTGACCCCCTGGGGCAGGGACATGCTCGGTGACCCCCAAGGCCATGTGCCTGTGCTGCCTGGGGGAGCGCAGTGCCTCAGTGTCCCTTGTGCCCCATGTCCTTGACCCCTCCCTGCTCAGTGACCCTCTTGTGTCCTTCACTGCCTGGCTGGGGACATGCTCAGTGCCACCTCTGTGACCCTCCCTGACCAGTGACCCCCTGGGGCAGGGACATGCTCGGTGACCCCCAAGGCCATGTGCCTGTGCTGCCTGGGGGAGCGCAGTGCCTCAGTGTCCCTTGTGCCCCCCGTGTCCCGCCCTCGCCCCCCTCCCCGGTCACTGCCCATGGGAGGGGCCCTCAGGAACACCCCCGTGCCCTGCCACTCAGTGCCTGTGACCAGGGACCTCCCAGTGTCCCCCCACTCCTGGCCTCACTCCATCCCTGCCCTGTGCCCCCATCAGTGCCAGCCTCCTGGAGTGGGGACCCCTCCATGGCACCCCAGTCACCCTGTACCCCCTCGGATCGTGGCTGTGCCCCCCTCCAGCGCCCCCAGTGCCCCCTCCCTGTCCCCAGGTGCCCCATCCGTCCCCACCTGTCCTTCTCGTCGCCCTTGATGCGCTTCCAAGGCTCGTTCACCTGGATGTACTGGTTGCCGTGGCGGGAAATGCTGAGCACGCACCTGAGCGCGTCGCGGATGCTGGGGGGGCACGGGGGGGCTGAGCACCTGCAGGGCAGGCTCTGCACCCCCCCTCCCCGGGCTCTGGGACCCCCAGGACCCACCGGACTTTCTCCATCAGCTGGTGGTACTGGCGCATCTCCAGCGTGACCCGGGCCAGGAGCCGCTGGTCCTCGGCCGTGAGCGCCATGGGGGGCACGGTGCCCCCAAAGAACTTGCACACAAACATGCCAGCCCTGGGGACAGTGGGGACAGGAGTGAGCCCATGCTGGGGACAGGCTGGGGGCAGGTGTGAACACAGCCTGGGGGCAGGTGGGGACAGGTGTGAGCACAGCCTGAGGACAGGTGACCCATTCTGGGCACAGGTTGGGGACAGGTGTGAGCACAGCCCAGGGAGAGGCTGGGGACAGCTGTGAGCACAGCCTGGGGACAGTTTGGGGACAGCTGTGAGCACAGCCTGGGGACAGTTTGGGGACAGCTGTGAGCACAGCCTGGCAACAGTTTGGGGACAGCTGTGAGCACAGCTGTGGCCCAGCCCTCCTCCCCAGAAGTGTCCCTACCTGTTGATGAAGTTGCCCAGGTTGTTGAGCAGCTCCGAGTTGTTCTTGAGCAGGAGGTCGGCCCAGGAGAAGGCGCTGTCCTGGCCCTCGGGCCGCAGGTACAGCAGGTAGAAGCGCCAGACGTCGGCCGGGATCCCGGTGTCCTTGGCCATGTCCCCGAACACGCCCACGCCCCGGCTCTTGGAGAACTTCCCATCCTCGTAGTTCAGGTACTCTGGGGACAGGTGAGCCCTGCCGTGGGGAGCTGGCCCCTCCCAGGCAGGTAACGGCCCCAGGTGTGACACAGGGAGGGTGGAGCCCCCATCCCTGGGGACCCCTCACACCTGGGGATCCCCAACACATGGGGACCCTCACACCTGGGGATCCCCAACACCTGGGGACTGCTCACACCTGGGGATCCCCAACACCTGGGGACTGCTCACACCTGGGGATCCCCTCACCCAGAGACCCCACACCTGGGGACCCCTCCCAGCTAGGGCTCCCCACACCTGGGGATCTCCACACCAAGGGACCCTTCACACATGGGGCTCCCAAACACCTGGGGACCCCTCACACCTGGGGATCCCCACATGCAGGGACCCCTCACAGCTGGGGCTCCTCAACACCTGAGGACCGCTCCGATGTTGTGATCCCCAACACCTCGGGCTCCCCAATACCCGGGGACCCCTCCCACCTGGGGCTCCCCACACCTGGGCCCGTACCTGTGGCGATCAGGTGATTCACCAGAGTGTAGTTGTCGTCGGCGCCCAGCAGCGAGCAGGGAAACACGACGCTGTGGAAGGGGACGTTGTCCTTGGCCATGAAGTTGTAGAGCTCCACCTGGCAGGTAACGGGGACAGGTGGAGACGTCAGCCGAGCGTCCTGCTCTGTCCCCCCTTCACCAGCACCTGCCTCCTCCCACCTGCTGGGGGTTCTTCCACCACCGCTCCCACTGCTCGGTGTAGTTGGCCGTGATGGACAGGTACCCGATGGGAGCGTCGAACCACACGTAGAACACCTGGGGGAGGGCGGGACCTGAGCAGGTGAGCGCAGCGGGCAGCGCCCAGCAGGGGCACCCGGGGCCACGGGGGGCACCCACCTTGTCACGGAAGCCGTCGAGGGGCACCGGCGTGCCCCAGGTGAGGTCGCGGGTGATGCAGCGCGGCCTGAGCCCGTCGCGCAGCCAGGTGCGCGTGATGTGCCGCGCGTTGGCCGTCCACTCACCCGCGGCCCAGGTGCGCTCCAGCCACGCCTCCAGCCGCCCCTCCAGCTGCGGGACACACAGCTGGGACACCCGGGCCACCTGGGGGGCCCCGTGCCCCCCTCACCGCTGCCCCAGGGCTGCAGCTCACCTTGGGCAGGTCCAGGAACAGGTGCTGGGTGGGCGACACCACCGGGGTCCCGTGGCAGAGCTTGCACTGGGGGTTCTGGGGGCAAACGGGGGTCCCCAGTGTGGGGGGGGATCCCCAGAGGTGGAGTGGGGGTCCCCACAGGCGGGGCAAGGGGTGGGAGTGGAGTTAGGGAGGTGCACAGAGGTGAGGGGAAGTGGGGGGTCCCCACAGGTGAGGCAAGGGGCTTTACCAAAAGTGAAATGCCCATGGTGAGTTAGGGAGGTGCACAAAGGTGAGGGGATCCCCAAAGGTGGAGTGGGGGTCCCCACAGGTGAGGCAAGAGGCGAAAGTGGGAGGGGAAGGCTCAGGGTGATTTGGGGAGGTCCCCAAAAGGTGAGGGGAAGTGGGGGGTCCCCAAAGATGGAGTAGGAGGTCCCCAGAAGTGGAGCTGGGGGGTACTCACAGGTGGGGCAAGGGATGTTACCAAAAGTGGGAGGGGAATGCCCAGGGTGAGTTAGGGAGGTCCCCAAAGGTGAGGGGAAGTGGGGGGTCCCCAAAGAAGGAGCGGGGGGTCCCTGCAAGTGGGGCAAGGAGTGAAGGTGGAGTTAGGGAGGTCTCCAGCCGTGAGGGGAAGTGGGGGGTCCCCAAAGAAGGAGTGGGGGGTCCCGGGAAGTGGGGCAAGGAGTGAAGATGGAATT